ACTTTCTCTTTCTTTGAATTTTCCTTTAGGCCAGTTTTGCCTGTGTTCGTTTTTGTTGTTTTTCACTTGGTGTTTTTTACTTACCGGTATATAATTTGCCTTATGCCTGTTCATGTTGGGTTTTTTCCCCTTTTTGCTGTCTGTTTTCTCTTTCTCCCTGCCTTTTTCTGTCTGCAGGAGTTCAGGGGCCACGTATAACCGGATGTGGTATGCCGCTCTGGCCTTTGTGACTCTGATGTTATTCAGCATTGCAGTGGGAGCGGTTATATTTATGGGTATATACTACACCCATCCTGAGGCGTGTTTGCTTAACAAAATCTTCCTGGGCATCAATGGTGGCCTCTGCCTCGTTGTCTCCCTGCTAGCCATCTCCCCATGCATACAGAAATGTGAGAAATTGTATTCTGAAGCTCATTATCTCATTTTCCTGTGTAATGCAAATGAGAACAAGCATTTACATTTACTTTTCAGGAGCCTGTCTTTTCACAAATAGTAACACAATGAAAGTAGTTGTAGTTTTGGCTATAGTACTTACAGTATTTTTTTAAAATACAGTCATACCAACTGAGGACTTGTCAGTATAGTCAGTTATATTTAAAATTTATATTCACCTCTCCTTCTCTGCAGTGCAGCCCAAATCAGGCCTGTTACAGCCAGGAGTCATCAGTGTGTATGTCATGTACCTCACCTTCTCAGCCTTCTCCAGCAAACCAAAAGAAAGTGAGTATGTCTAGATACCTATCTGCACCTACTATACTGCAGCCATTATTGGATATCATCTGGGATCAGTATAATTTATGGTGACTCATTGCTTACGTAAATCATATTGCGGTGACACATTTGTTATGCTTAGGAACAGGATAATTATCAATATAAATACATATTTTGGTTTAGCTTTAGGTTTTATTAGTCAAAGTATTGCAAAAAGCAGCCATGACCAGGACACAGAGAGATGAAGCATGGCAAAGGAGTTGGCAGCGAGAGAAAAGATGGCCACTGAACAAAGTGAACATGGTTTCAGGAATTTTTTTTTTTAAATGGTCACCTTTTTTGTTTTTTTTTTAAGTTCAAGAAGTCATCATTGAATACATTTGAGTTTGATTTATCTTAGAATTATAAAAAAATTGGAATTGTATGATTTAAAAATAAATGCTTCTGTCAGTGCTTCTTATACCTGCTGCATGTTGTACTATCGCTCCGTTTTCACTCGCCCTCCTCCTCTCGCTGTTGCAAATACTGCCAAAACAAACACACTCACTGTGTCTTTTTGCAGTCTCCCTACTCCTTTATAATACTCTCTCTGCTTCCTCTTTCATTGCCTTATTCATCTCTGTCTGCACATTCATTATGTCTAGTACTGGTGATTGATGGTGTGAACACAACCGTGTGTGTGTTCCCCTTCAACTCTGGAACGGAGAGTGACAAGAAGATCGTCACTGGTGTAGGAACCGTTATTCTGTTTGGCTGCATCCTTTACTCTTGGTAAGACACACACTCTCTCTGCACCCATACAAATCAAGTTCACCTCTATCTCGTTTTAGTGTTATATTATTGATAGAGTTGAGAGAATCAAGCCAGCGGTGCTACAATAAGGTTTCCTTTAGCTTCACCAATCAAAGGCCAAATGGCCTTGCCCTTGAAATTAGGAAATTTAAGGCCTGGCTGTGACTCCAGAGAGGCACTGTGTGATTGGCTGTGACTGAGGAAAGGGTGTGACAGATGAAAACTGGCTTTTTGACTTTGTTCACATGTGTTTTCCATAATGTGGAGGCATCATGTCTCTTGTGGTCACTCCCTGCAGAAGAAGGAATTAGACTCTGCAGCAATCTGAAACTGCAAATTACTGGAAAAATACATAGTGAGGGAATTACAAGTATGCTCAATCTTTGTCCATCTTTGTTCTCCCTCCCTCTAGCTTGACGTCCACCACCAGGCGAAACTCTGCAGCGCTCCGTGTGGTTAGGAACAGCGAGCCAGAGACGGAGGTAAAAGCACAAATGTTTACATCTGTCAGTTTTGGTCGATGAAATGTGTTGACTGGTTAACAAGACTTGAAAACCTGATTGATCAGGCACTCCTCATTTGATGTCTGCATCAAATTATATAGATGAGGCCCCTGAGACAAGTGTCTATTAATCTGTGTCTCTCAAATATTTAATTCCAGCTGCGTAACCGGTATGTTTTCTTTCCCTTGCAGAGAGCTCGCTGCTGTTTCTGTTTTGGAGATGACACGGGTAAGGAAAGTCAAATCATTCACCCTTCACAACACATCTTTACTTATTCCTCCCTGCTCAGTGTGTATGCATATGTCCCCAGCCCTAGTGTTTGCACACTGAAGGATGATGCTCATTGCTATTCCTCGGCCAGATTGAGCATGGTGAGAAAGTATTGGTCAGCAAGCACAGATGATGTCACTGTTACTAGGAAGTTAGTATGACACAGTCAAACAGGACAAGTAGGGATATGGGATTGTGGGTAAGCTCACACTGCCACCTGCTGGGAACAAAGTTATGTTGGAAAATAAAACCATAACTAAAAGATCCCAACTTTTAAAATACAGATTTACTTTACTTAACTTAAATATGATTTGAATGAATTGGTCCAGAGTGACTTTGGGCTTTTATCACATCTTTTCTACATGAATATTCCTGACCCTGTCTATATGTATGTTTCAGATGACTATGATGAGGAGAAGACTGGTGCAGGCCAGAACGTGGCGTACGACGAAAGAGAGAGAACCATCTACAGCTATTTCTACTTCCACTTTGTCTTCTTCCTAGGATCCCTTTACGTTATGATGACCATCACCAACTGGTTTCAGTAAGCAATAACTATCTGTGATTGTGGCATGTAGTACTACTGTGTGTTCATGTGCACACAATACTACCGTTATGGACAATAAAATAGGTTAATTTAGTTATTCCAACATGCGTTTCCTTTGCAGTTATGAAGACCATAAGATTGAGAAGCTGTTAGATGGCAGTTGGTCAGCATTCTGGCTCAAGATGGCCTCCTGCTGGGTCTGCCTCATCCTCTACATGTGGACCCTCATTGCTCCCATACTCTGCCCGAAGCGCTTTGAGGCATAAGACACACTACACTAAGGTCAGGCTACTCCGTCTTTTGGGATGCGTAAAAGTGCCCATGCTGAGCCAAGGGACCACCACAACACAACCCTATACTACCCTCAGCATTCACAATTGAGGATTAGCTGTTGCTTCTGTTTTATACGATAGTGTTTACTTTGTTAAGCTGTTAATACCTTGATGGTATTTTTCCAATTCTTTTACTACCACTGACTCGTGGAGTTTTGTATTACAAGTTTGAAATGAGAGTAGAGCTACACTGGGAAACATGAGAAGCATCCAGTCTTTTTAGACTCCCAGATCATTTCAGATTTGAAAGTGTTTTTTTAAATGTCTTGCGTGCGTCAGGTTTTCTTGATGTCTTGCTTTTGCTCTCAGCCAGGCATTTGTTCTGTGACGTCGGACCAAGTTAGAAATGTTATGAGAACGTGTATATATTTAAGGCCACGTTCACACTGCAGACTGAAGTGGCTCAAATCCAATCTTTTTGCCCAAATGTGACCCATATCCGATTTCCTTATGACAGTATGAACAGCACAAATCCGATTTTTTCAAATCCGGCCCAGGCCACTTTCATATGTGGTCCTAAATCGGATACATATCCGATGTTTTGCAAGGCGACTTCAGTCTGAACGGCCAGGTCACATTTCATGCGATTTTTGTCATTGAAATGCGACAGACGTCACAATTCTGCGCTGGAGGAGGCGAGGCCATAAGCAATATTTGTGCTCTCCTTCTTATCATTATTTCTTTATTTCGATTGCACATTAACTGGTACATCGCTACGCACATGCCATCACAAGCCGCATCCATTTTTATTTTCGCAAACACAGTACGCTGCGTCTGACGTCACGTCCTCTTCTGCGCATGCGGGTCACCTCAGGGCCGTATACCGTTCACACATGAGACAGATGGCAGTCACATTTAAATGACAGTGTGAACAGCAGTGCAAAAAAAAAAAATCGGATTTTGGCAAAAAATCTGATCTGAGCATTAAGACCTGCAGTGTGAACGTAGCCTTCGTCTAAAGTAAAAAGGATGGTGTAAATTGCAATTTGTCCGACTCTTTTAAAAAAAACATCTCTCAGGCTCACACTTCAGCTGTATATGTTTATGCTATTTCATTCTTTTGTAGAAGTTTTCTATGCAACAGAACAAGTGCTTGTTAATATTACCAGTGTTGTGAGGTTTCCACTTAAACCCCAAGGATCTTAATTCCTACTTTATTAACATCAGTGCTCCCTTTGAGTCGTATATTTTCAGAAAATTCATGTCATATGTACATTTCCAGTCAACATAGAGGGCAGTGCTCTTCAAATCATCCTGCCTTATGTAATAGTGACATTAGTGGAGTGTCTGGAAGAGCTGCAGTGACACAGATGAACATTTACCAAAGGTAGTTGTCATAAATCAAACTATTAGAGTGTATAGACTGTTACAGAGAAAAACATGTATCTGCATGCGTGCACACATTTAAATCAACTGGTCTCTGTACAAATAAGAGGTTTTGCCTCGTCTTTACCTGTGCCAGCTCATAATCAGAATGCAGTAGCATGGGGTTTTAGATTAAGTTATTCAACACTGGATGTTGAGTTTACTGCCAAATTAAAATTCACTCAAGCCCCTCACCTGTTTTACTACTTGTGTAATGGATTTTTATTATTTTGTACTATGTTAAAATATAGTATAGTGCACATTGTCCCCTACAAGTCCTTTGTTTCTCACTCATCAAGATATGTTCATCTTTGGTTTATTTGTATACCTAACACATTTAATAACTTGTGTATATTTTGGTTCAAGTTATCTGTTCTATGGAAAGTTTAATTTTTCAAATTCTGTCATGCAACTTTTTTTCCCCTCCAATATTCAATATTCAGCATTTTTTTGGGTAGGAATGTAGAGATTAAATGGTGCTCACTTCAGTTCTGATTAAAAAAAAAAAGCAAGCAGGACCCACTCTAAAGGGTTTATAAGGCCATAACATGCAAGAACAATTTTTTGACCATGTATTACTTTTGAGATATGGATGCTATTCAGTTCATATTATTCACACTTTCAATAAAACATTCAAACACCATGTGTTGTCTTGAACTTCTATAAAATGCTCAGGATTTATTGTACTTAAAATATTCAAAAACATTGTATTATCCTAAACAGTATAAATGCTGATACGAGTGAAGGTGATAAGATATACACAAAATCTGCAGATAATTCATACAAGAACTTATCTTAAATTACACTGAATTAAACAAGTATAATGCCCAATGTTATGCTTTCCTAAGACCCTTTCATTCTAATGATCCCAAGTTTAAATATCATCCAAACAGTCCATGTTACCTCTCACATTTTTCTCTATGGTCTTTTGAGCCATGCTTTCCAGCTGGGCTCAAGTTGTTTGTGATGGATCACTCCCCTTCTCT